AGAGAGAGAGAGAGAGACTCTATAGCATAATTATTACTGAAGGTTTTGCTGTATTTTTGTGCTGGATATTTGATTTACTTTAACACAGAGTAGAATAGGATATTATACATAATTGAATATTAAATATGAATAATCTCACATAGCCTTCAGTAGATTTGTAAAGTGCAAACAGTGTAGTAATGTGTAAACCTCATACAGAATGATTATACTGTAATATATCTTATCATAAGAATGATTATAACCTACATTAACACTGGCATCGTAAACACTGTACAACAACAAGCTGTGAGAATACTGTATAATAGAGTAAAACCCGTCTCGCTCTCAGTCTTATTTAATTTTACAGAGCGTCACTAATGTTACCATGTTACTGAACATTTCACCTGTTCAGTCAGGCGAACAGAGCTCAGTAAACCGGGCAGGAGGAAGTAACAGACTCCCGGGGGAATATCACTCGGTCTCTTTACCAATAAGCTCAAAATGAAGCTAATATTCGCTGGGTTTATATTTAATTGTGGGTTTTAAAGATGAAAACGACCGTTTTGAATCTGAATCATAGAGCATAGTAAACCGCAAGCATCTCTGTGTGTCTGCACCGGACTCCTCCACCCCCTCTGTCCTCCCGATGGTGCGCTCCGCCGCTGCAGGTCTGGTTCAGGCAGCCACATCGTTATCTGCCCGGAGGATCTCCGACCGCACGAAGGACCGAGACCGGCGTGTCTGCCTCTCTGTCCGTCGGTAGAGGCTCTGCAATGAATGAAGAGCCCGTCGGTCGGACACAGACACCGGGGAGAGACTCCGAGAACTGTCCTAGGACGCATGTTACTGCTCCGTGTCCGTGTATCCGGATTACTACCTATCCCCGGTCATGATCAACCTGACGGCGCGCGGTGCGGCTCGTGTGTCCGTGACAGCCGAGTGATGGTGCAGAGGCGCGTGCGGTGCTGTTGGCAAATGCGAAACATCAGCTTGGTGACAGCGCGAGGACGTCATACAGATAAATACTGCATCTGATTGATGAGACATTAACATGACTTCGTCTGTGGGTGTGTGCGCCATATTCTCGGTGCACCTGCACCTCCTGCAAATGAATGCTGATCCTGGGCTGATCGATATCTGTTAATGATGGTCACAGTATCTATTCATCTATTTTTACCTCATGGTTTTCTCTCCTGCCAAGAACCACACGTGCAACCATTCTCTACAAGCCTGGTCTTCTTCTTGTCTACCTCTTCTAATTTATTTCTAAGCCATTTAATTTAATGCCATTGCAAGGACTGATGAGGAGCTTTTACACTGTTTCAGATGGATTTATTGTGCTCTAAAAGCGTGTGTTTACTCTGATGCAGCTCAACACAATATGCTCTTTTGTGTTCACATGGGATCACCATAAGGATTCAGGTGGCCTCATGTTCAAGTAAACGCCTCGATAATTGTAAACCTGTGGAATGCTTGATCTCAAGATGAAGGAGACGTGTCGCATCTGTGGACGGGAGCTCTGCGGTAACCAGCGGCGATGGATCTTCCACCCCACCGCCAAGCTCAACCTGCAGGTGCTGCTGTCTCACGCTCTAGGGCGAGAGCTGGCCCGGGATGGCAGAGGAGAGTTTGCCTGCTCCAAGTGCACCTTCATGCTGGACCGCATGTACCGCTTCGACACAGTGATCGCCCGCGTGGAGGCCCTGTCCATCGAAAGGTTGCAGCGGCTCCTGCAGGAGAAACATCGGCTGAGGCAGTGCATTGGTGGGCTCTATCGGAAAACAAATTCAGAAGAGGGGGCTGTTACGTTAACTGGAGGGAGTCAAGAGCCAGGAGATGGGATGGTGGACATTTCAGGTCTCACCCATGCGAAGTACTGTGCCCTGCTCCAGGATGACCTGGTCTACTCTTTGTATGAGTCCTGGGCCGACGACGGCCTGGACTGTCACCACCACCACCATCCTCATTGTCTTGCCGGTCCAGGGTCAGAGGTTACAGGTTCGAGCTCACATCGTTGTGTTCCCAGCACTCCCAGGAGGTGTCGGGGATGCTCATACTTGCGGGTGGCGGACTCTGATTATGAAGCTGTTTGTAAGGTGCCCAGGAAGCTGGCACGGAGTATTTCCTGCGGGCCATCAACCAGATATTCAGCCAGTCTTGTTGGAGGGAGTGTGGCTGGAGGTGTTGGAGAAGGAGTAGGAGAAAGAAAAAATGTGGAAGATTTAGAAGAAGCCCCGTCCTCTCTAACTCTGGTCCCTGGTTCTCAGAACCCCTCAAGGATGTCAGACAGCGATCGCACCCTGGCTGGACGAGCCAGCTCCAGCCCCTCTATAGCATCCTTGGAGGCAGCCGAGGAATATATTCAGCCTGGCGCCATAGCAGATGGGCCGCTGAGCTCCCCTAGGGAACCGGCAGACGACCAGATATCTGATTCCCTCTCTGATGAGCACATCGGAGCCCCGCATGCACAAGCCTCACCTGGACCCAGCCTCTCTCTGGCCCTCTGTTTGCTGCAGAGCTATGCTGTCCACCGGCCAGTCCGGAGCGCCAAGGGGAGCAAGCTGCCAGTGCTTCTCCGACAGAGCTCCAGTAATGGAGGCTCGAGGCTGGGCTTCCCTGATCCTCTTCTGGGAATGTCTTATGGAACTCCAGAGAGAGAAAGAGACAGTCACATGCCAACACCTGAGCTGGAGACCCCTCTGATCAGGCTGGATGCCGGGGTTGATCAGGTTCTGAACCTGGCTGAGATGGAAGATTTATTGGAAGATTTGTACAAAGAGTATCCCCCTCCACCTCCCCACCAGGTATAAAACCTTGACGAGGGTGGTGATGGCACTGTAATACAAGGATTTTACTACTGCAGGATGATGGCACTGTATTTTGCCAATGCGCTGAAAATCTGCAGTATTTGCAGCACTACAAGTGAACCATCCCAACAGGCTTTGATGTTTGTCAGACGATCAGTGGAGCCTGCTCACAAAACGATCATTTTGAACACTTTTTTAGGTTAATTAGCCTCATAATCCAACTGTCAGTCACTTAAATCCTGCCCACAGCCTTTCCAATAAGCTTTTTACCGAGAAGGATGTGAGCTATAGTGCCGTGTGTGTGTGTGTGTGTATATCCCACACCAGAAACAAGCAAACACACACACCACCACACCACACACACACACCACACAC